TATGCAAAACCACAGAAGTATGAGACTGAATGGGATATATGTGAAATATGGTGTGGATAGTTTAAGGTGAGGGGTGGCAAGGGAGATTAGACTAGGAAAAAGTGTTCCAAACCAGATTGAGAAGGGCTTTGAATGCCATGTTTAAGAGTTAAGTTTTATGCTATAGGGCAGTCATCTAATTTATTTAGGTAAGAGAGTCACATGACCAGATTTATATTTACAAATAATTCTGGCAGGAAAATAAATGATGGATATGAGCAAGAGAGTGGAAATAGGGAGACCAGATGGGAAGATTGCTCTTCCCTAATCTGGATGAGGAATATGAAGGATTTGTACCAGACAGGTGGAATCATGTAGGCACTACTATCATCCACATAAGAAAATATCCCAGAGAAAGAAGTCTATTAAAATAGAATCACTGAGGATTTCTCAACTCTGATTGCTCATTAAAAACATTTGGGAGTATTTTTTTAAATGGATATTCAGGTCTTACTCCTAATTAAATCAAAATCACTAGAGTGAGACCTGGTATTGGAATTTTTTTTAAAGATTTTATTTATTTATTTGAGAGAGAGAGAATAAGAGAGAGAAAGAGAGAGCACATGAGAGGGGGGAGGGTCAGAGGGAGAAGCAGACTCCCCACTGAGCAGGGAGCCTGATGCAGGACTCAATCCAGGGACTCGATCCTGGGACTCGATCCCAGGACTCCAGGATCATGACCTGAGCCGAAGGCAGTCGCTTAACCAACTGAGCCACCCAGGCACCCCTGGTATTGGAATTTTTAAGAAGTTCTCAGGTGATCCTAATGTGTAACCAGGGTTAAAAACCTCCAGCACAATCCATAAATGAGGAGTCTAAGGAAAACATAGTTCTGAGTATGGCTGTCCTAATTGTGTCATTCTGGGGCTTTGAGAAAACTAATTAATGTATATTAGCTGTTGATGATACTTCAAACAGTAAAATGACACCTGAAAAATGACCTTGCAACTTACTCACAAAAGTTATTGTGAGCTGATGCTAATTTAAAAAGAAATATGTATTTGCAGAAGAATCAAAGAAATTCATAATTCTGTTCTAAAGTAGGTCAAGCCACACCTTGGTCTAGATCAGAAAAGAGCAATGATAATTCATTAGTTTATATCTATTTTGTCTGGTTCATGTCCTATAAAAAGTCTAATATAAGCATACCAGGATGTTAAATGTGTGCCAGATACCTGATATTTTTGTTTATTTAATAAACATTTATATTACAACATATAAAGTGGTAAAAGCGACTCAAAAAAAATTTTTTATTAGAGGTAGGACAGTGAAATGGTTAAAGACACACATTTTGAAGCCAGACAGACCTAGGTCTTGAATCCAGGTTTTGTCACTTAGTAATTGTGGATCTGAACAATCTCACTTGTTTAAGCTATAATTTCCTTGTCTATGCAATATCGATAAATAGGAACGACAACATAGGATTGTTTTCAGAGTTATACTCTAAAATGCATCTAAAAGGGTGCCTGGGTGGCTCAGATGGGTAAGCGTCTGCCTTCGGTTCAGGTCATGATCCCGGGGTCCTGGGATCGAGTCCCGCATCGGGCTCCCTGCTCCTTGGGAGCCTGCTTCTCCCTCTGCCTCTCTCTCTCTCTCATAAATAAATAAATAAAATCTTAAAAAAAAAGTATTTTAAAATGCATCTAAAGTCTTTAACATAGTAGCTGACATTTCTAAGTATGTGTCTTGGCTCCTACACTCAAGGAACTAAGAAATTAGAGGAGGAATTAAATTAGGCCATGAAAAAATTAGGCCTGTAACATAAGGCAGCATTATAGATTATTAATAATAATTTAATAGGTAGGAAAATAACAGCTTCAGATAATAAAAACCACCTTTAACTATCTTAAGAAAAAGCACATCTATTGAAAGCTTATCAGAGACTCAAAGATTCTGCAAGAAGCTAGGGACAGGCTTAGAAGAAAAGCAGAAACCCAAGGAACTGCCATGGACCAGGAAGCCAGAGCCACAACAGTTGTTGCTTTTTTTTTCCCCCCCAAGATTTTATTTATTAGCCAGGGAGAGAGAGAGAGAACACAAGTAGGCAGAGCAGCAGGCAGAGGGAGAGGGAGAAGCAGGCTCTCCGCTGAGCAGTGAGCCCGACGTGGGGTTTGATCCCAGGACCCTGGGATCATGACCTGAGATGAAGGCGGCCGCTTAACCAACTGAGCCACCCAGGTGCCCCATCATCATACAGAATATTTAAAAGACTCAGGTTAAGATTTAATAATATTTTTACTGCTTCATCAAGGACACTGGGAAACATGCTTTAAATTCTTTTTTTTTCTTTTAACTGCAAGAGCATGGTGGTCAAGAAATGACTTCTGGATCGCTTTGGTGACTTGTTGAATTTGGTGCCACTGTTTTTATTTTGTGCTAAGGGGGCAGCAGTTTCACCCATCATTACTTCTGCTTCAGTTAGTACAAATACCACATGATTAAAAAAAAAAAGCACATAACTTTTTTATTACCACAAAAGTTTTCACCTCACAAACTTCCTAAATTTGGGGAACTCAGTCTGTAGACCACTCTTTGAGAATCAATGTTCTACAACATATTTAGTGGCTGTAGAAAATTACATTATATGAGTGACCACAGTTTATTTAGCCAATGTCCTTTATTGAGGGCATTTGAGTCATTTCTAATTTATCTCCATCACCAGTAATGATGTAGTTTAAACTTCATTTGCATCCTGAATTATATCTTTAGAATACAGCGTTAAGGGGCACCTGGGTGGGTCAGATGGTTAAGCGTCTGCCTTCGGCTCTGGTCATGATCCCGGGGTCCTGGGATCAAGTCCCGCATCGAGTCCCGCATCGGGCTCCCTGCTAGGCGGGGAGCCTGCTTCTCCCTCTGCCTCTGCCTCTCTCTGACTCTCATGAATAAATAAATAAAACATTTAAAAACATATTAAAATTTAAAAAACCTTAAAAAAAAAGAATACAGCGTTAAAAATGGAATAAATGGGCCAAAAAAAAGCATTTAAGAAAAACTGGCTTCCGAATATTGCCTTCCTATAGGTTTACTAATGTACACGTGTATTTTATATAACAATGAGTATCCTTCCCGCTTACCAACATGGTGGTTATATTTTTTTAAAAGATTTTATTTATTTGAGAGAGAGATTGTGTACGAGAGAGGGGAGGGTGAGAGGGATAAGCCAGCGGGGCTCCGTCTGAGGACCCCCGGATCGCGACCTGAGCCAAAGGCAGACAGACTCTCAACCCACTGAGCCACCGAGGCCCCCTGATGGTGGTTATTATTATTTTTTTAAAGATTTTATTTCTTTGACACAGAGAGAGGGAACACAAGCAGGGGGAGTGGGAGTGGGAGAAGCAGGCTTCTCACTGAGCTGAGAGCCCGACGCGGGGCTGGACCCCAGGACTCTGGGATCATGGCCTGAGCAGAAGGCAGAAGCTTAACGACTGAGCCACCCAGGCGCCCCGATGGTGGTTATTTTTAAGGAAAAACAAAAACTGACCAATTTACAGGCAAGAAATGGAATCTCATTTTAATTTGCATTTATTTGCTTATTAGTTAGATTTTTTCATGTTTATAAAAATTATTGAGTTGCATATTTATGTATTTTGTCCATTTTTCTATTGATATAGTTGTCTTTGGGATTTTATCCGTTGGTCTGTCATGAATGTTGCAGTCATTTCTTCCCAATTTTTGTTTACTTTTTAACTTTGTATAGTTTATTTTTGTATGTTTTAAATTGTGATTAAATTACCTATCAGTCTTGGGGCGCCTGGGTGGCGCAGTCGGCTAAGCGTCTGCCTTCGGCTCAAGTCATGATCCTGGGGTCTTCGGATGGAGCCCCACGTCAGGCTCACTGCTCAGCGGAGAGCCTGCTTCTCCCTCTCCCTCTGCCTGCCACTCTGCCTACTTGGGCTCACTGTCTGTCAGTCAAATAAATAAAATCTTTAAAACAAATTACCTATCAGTCTTTTTATATTTTCTGCCTTTGGTGTCATGCTTTAAAAAGCCTCCTCCAAAAAATAAAAAATAAATTTAAAAAAGGCTCCTCCATCCCAATATTATACAAATATTTACTTTTTCTTTTTTTTAGTAGTTAACTCTTCAATTCATTAAGAATTATTTTGATATGTATACTTTGAGGTAAAGATATGACTTAATCTTTTCCCAAATAGCTAACCTTTAATTCCTTCAAGCGCGTTAGATTTATCGTTATTTTCCCCTTTGTTAAAAACATACTATTAAATTACTGGTTTGTAAACAACTTAAAATTTAAAACAATACAGATAAATCTAAAGTAGCTCTTGACCAACTTCCTCCTATCCTGAGAGCTATTATTAGTTTTTTTTCCCTTTCAGGCTTCTTCCTTCGCATTTTAACGCATATAAGCGCAAATACATAGTCTGCGGCAACTTGGGGTTCCCCCCACCCACGCACACACTTAATTCATCTTTATCTTTCCACAGGGGTCTACCCTGTTCTTTTCGACACCAACGCATGGTGTTCCATAATGAGCATGACCATGTTTATTTTGTCTTCCCTCGACCGATGCATGACTACAAGGTTTCAATTTTAATATTCACCAGATCTCCTCAAAGTGGCCGGGGCCCGAGCTTTCTCGTGCGCAGGTGCAAGTGTCCAAGGGCTACATTCCTAAACATGGAATAGCTTTGAGTATTTTTTCATTCTGTGGGTTCTGGGGAACCACTGCGGGTACGTAGGGCGACAAACACCCCCTGACCAAAACCTGGCCTGAACGAGACGCAGAATAGGTACTCAACCCCTGACAGACTTCCTCTTTTCAAAATGGACGCTGAATTTACTTTTTACCTCGCAGATGCAACAGTTCGCAGCAACGAAACCAGATGCACAACCATTCAAGCACTGGGGACTACAACTAAAAAATTAGGGGAAGAAAAACCTCCAGCCGTACCCGCCGTGACGCTTGCTTCCGGGAAGGGGACCGGAAGCCGCTCCTCGATTCTGCGTCAAACCCGACTTCAGGGGCCGTCGTAAAAGTGTCGCCCCTCGTTTCTTGGACCGGCCACAGGTTTCCTCTGGTCTCCGGCCGGGGGTCTGGAACTGCGGGTGTCAGTTTCCCTCAAGATGGCGGACGAGGAGGCCGGGGGTGCGGAGAGGATGGAAGTCAGTACCGAGTTGCCTCAGACCCCTCAGCTCCTGGCATCTGTAAGTCCTTGTAGGCAAGTTCCTTTTGTCCCCCCCAAGTCCCTCCCTACCGCGCTCTGGAGGATGTCGGGCTTCACCCCTTTTCGCGGCTCTGGGGAGGGGGAGTCTTATGGATTGATCTGGAAGGAAGCCATCGAATAAAAGTTAGTCATTACCCACATTCCTGCCGACCAAGTCTACGGAATATAATGACTTTGTCATTTATTAGTCGTGACGAGTTCAAGCATGTCTCTAACATTAAGTAGAAAGAACTGGTGATGTTATTAGATGGTCTGGTGTGGGGGCTGAGGCGGGATTAGAGGAAAAGCCATTTTCCGATAGACGCAGTGCCAACCCCTCTTAATGACAGGAATCCAGGACGCTGCACCTAATGTTATATTGCATAGCTAGCTGGGTGGGGCCTGATAATGGCAGGGAATACTGCCACTGTCAACTCGTCAAGATACTGGGTGTAGGAATTGTAGTCCCTCGTTCTAGTGTCTTGAGAACCCCAAGCCTAACCCCTCGATGGAGAAACCCGTCGTCTTATTCTTATTAAGGGTGAAGAAACTTCCAGACATTTCGAATCAGAGCAGTACCATTAATTAATATCGCAGTCTATACTTTGCCCTTGTATTTTGAAAGAATGGGAAGGCAGAGACAGTGAGCAAATTTGAGTCTATAGTCTGGCCACAGGGAGAAAGCAGATGAGGAGGATAAGAGCTAGGGGGCAATATTGGGGAATGTTCTGGATGTCTCTGGGCATCTAGTGGGGAGATATACAGGAAATATTCAAATATCGATTTCTGCATAATATTACGTCTTATCACTTTGTCTTTATTGCTGCCTATAAAAAAATGTGGGATTACACCTCTTTCTGAAGTTTTTTGGTTTGTAGTTTCAATAAAAGCATTTTTAGACTATTTTAATCATGCAAACACTTCAGCATTGTTTTATGAGAGAATAAAGTGAGCTCCAGAATTAAGAATCCACCCCAGGAACTGGGGAGACTGGCTGGGAGATAGAAACCAGGTAGGGAGGGAATTGGAATAAGGATTTGGCCAACTATAGCAGTGTGTGCAACCATCTTCTAGCTCAAACAGTAGCAGCCTCACTTCACTGCCAGTATTGAAGGAGGAAGCATCTATTTGAAATGAGAAGGTAGGGAAAATTGAGAAGCACCTGAAACATCTTAATGGTAGCTTGTGCATTCTACATCTTAGAAGCAGTACAGAAATTGTGTGGATAGAAGTGTTATTGTAATTTTGTATTGCCAAAGATGGCTAGTGTTTATTTAAAGGTTTGATATATTAATTCCTTCCAGGTGGTACAGTAAAACCTCATCAATCTAGACTCCACTTATTTTTAATTGGAGATAATGGTACAGAAATCAAGGTAGAATTAGGTTGCAAACTCTTTAATTCAAGAAATATTGGATTTCTTGGGGCAAGGCTGTAGGTTTTGCAAAGTAATGGGTAGATGTCAAGAGAAGTGTAATCGCCTGAGGGAACTCACAGTTTAGTGACACAGATAAGACAAGTGCTCAAAGAACTTTAATACAAGATAGGGTGATGTAAGTGGAAGAAGAACTGTGACAGGCCTCATGATCATTTTTTTGGCTTGGATCGCTCTATCTACTTAGGGATTCCAGGTATCTCTTTACTTTCCTTTTCTTTTTAAAGCTACTGTCTTCAATTTTATTCTGACAGTGGAGTAAGATACTGGCTTTCCAGTTTACTACTTATTTGCTGTTAAGTAAAATAAGCTCAGAGACTCTTTAACATTTGAATGATTTGTATTTTAAAGCACTTGGGAGGTAGGGAAAACAAAAATAATAAATATAGGACAGTTACAAGGTTTTAGAAATCTCACCAACTCCATTAGAGCCTTGTCCTTGGTTATACTTTCTGTTATCCTTAAATCATACTTTCTTCTTAAACCCCAGGTCATTTCTCTGTCATACTGCTATCAAAAGCATGAAGGCTCTCAAATTCCTAATATCACCTAACATGCAATTAAGGTGAAATAATAGATATGAATTATTGGACATTTATAAAAGTCATTGCTTAAGAATCATTAGAGGAGTTGATTTTGTAGGTCTGGGGTGGAGAATTTTCACAAGCATGCCCAGCTGATTCTGAGGTCCTGGTCTGTGAGCCACACTTTGAGTAAGACTTAACTAGACATTTGGAAATTCTCAATACAGAGTTGACAGTTGAGATTGTGGAAATGAAGAAGATCTTTGAGGAGAAAAGTATGTGTGTGTGTGTGTGTGTGTGTGTGTGTGTGTGTGTGTGCGCGCGCATGCATGCATGAGCACATACACACAGGTTCAGACACACAGGGAGAGGGAAAGAAGAGAGGGAGAAGGACTAGGGACAGGAATGATTGAATTTCAGGGATAGAAGATGGAGGAAGAACCAGAGAAGGACCTAGAAAGGGAGCAGCCAAGCAAGTAGGAGGGGAGAGTAGTACGGTGCCATAGGGTCTAGTTTCTAAGAGAGAGGGTGGTTTATTGGGTCCAGAAGATAAGGACTGAGAAAAACTGGGAATTCAGAGAGTATATGGGGTGGTTTGACAGAACTTCTGCCTTCTGTCTACTTTGACTGGATTTTCTTTCCTAAGTCAATCTCAGAAGGTGTCTCCTGGCTTGGTACTAAGGTCTTTGCTCTTTCCTGTCTACCCCCTCTGCCTATGTGATTTCATCCGGTTCTTTGGCTTTAAATACCATTGGTATGCTTTCAGTTCCCAAATTCATATCTCTAGGTCATCTCACCTCTGAACTCCAGAGTCACAAATTCAACTACTTGCCTACTTGACATAGCCACTTGGATGTCTGATAAATGTTTCAAACAGGGGGAGCAATTAGGAAGCTACTGCTATAACCTAAGCCTTAGCTGATGGTGGTTTGTACTAGAGAGACATCACTGGAGATAAAGAGAAGTGGATAGATTTGAGAGAGATTTTGGAGGTATGGTAGAAGCAAAAAAATTTGCTAATGGATTAGGCATGAGGATAAAAGGGAAGAAACAAATCACATCTGGATCCTCAGTTTTTGGCTTAAGCATTCATGGCCATGGTTGGTCATATTCTGAGAGAAAGGACCAGGTTTGGAGAGGGGAAAGAAGGGAGGCTGATCAAGAATTTTGTTATCCCTGTCTCATGGCACTTCCGTAATAGCTCTCGAACACAAACAACTCTCTCTGTCTCCACTCCACCTCTCTAGTCCTAGCCACCATCTGTTGCCTAGGCAACTGGAGTGGCCTCTTAACTGGTTCTCTTTGCTTCCATTTCTGCCCTCTTCCAGTTTATTTTCCACAGATCAACCTGAGTAATCTTTTTAAGACTAATTCAGATCATGTCAGCCTCCTGCCTAAATCCTTCAGTGGCTTCCCATTTTACTTGGAATAAAATCTAAACTCATTACAGGTCTTTCAAGATCCTGCATGATCTGGCTCCTATGTCTCCCCCTCATTTCCTGTTATTTCTCCTCATTTAGTGTTAGCTACACTGGCCTGTTAGTTTCTAAAACAAGCACAAGATCTATCTTGCTCTAGGGCCTGTGCCTTTGCTTGCTGTTCTTTTTTCCAAGAGTGTTTTTCCTCTGCTTTTTCTTGATACTTACCCAGTCTAAAAGATGGGTTCTTCTTATCCTTCTGTGTGTAAGCACCCTGTTTATTTCCTTTACTGCACTTATTACAATCTGTAATTACTATGTTGTCTTTATTATTTAAATATCTGTCTCTCCCACCAGAATGCAAGCTCTGTGAAGACAAGGATCATGTCTGACTTGTCCACTGATATGTCCCAGTATGCGTTTGAAATAGCCGACATTTACATACTCTTAATGAATAACTGAGAATCAACATTAGTGATTTATTTTAACAAGATTGGTAGTGATTGGGAGAGGGAGTTGTGGAGGAAGATGGGAAATGAGGGGGCATATTAGGATAGTACCTAACATTGGGGTCCAGGCTGAAGGTGGGGGGTGTAGGAAAAGCCAAAACAGGAATTCTGTGGGGAATTGATGGGATTTGAGTTATTAAAAGTTATGATGTTGACATAAACGGAAGACCTGAACATTATGGTCAGCAAGGGATTTTGGAGTTTGAGAACATGGAGGTACATCAGGTTTTGTGATGGTAGAGCCAAGTTAGATGAGCATCTTTGCATTCCTAGAGCACCCTTTTCATACTCCTGTTGTATGCAGCATGTCTCAGGCTGTCCTGAGCATTGCCTGTTTGCTGCCTGTCTTTCCTTCTAAACAAGAAACTCCTTGAGAGCATGAGCTGTTTCTTGTTCACACCTGTATCTCCAGTACCTAACACATTGCTTCAAAACTTTTGTTGAATGCATGCACGAATGAATGAATGAGGAGACAATAACTCAGGTGGAGTGGAGGTGGAAGTAATAGGAGTTGAGGCGGTTAGGCTAAAAGGTTTAAAGAGGAATTTAAAAAAATTAACATTATTGAGTTATATTTTAAGTACAATAAAATGCTTCCATTTTAAGTGTTTTGGTTGATGAGTTTTGATAAATGTATACACCTGTGTAACTATTGCTAAATTGGGGGTACAGAACATTTCCATTACTCCCAAAGTTATACTGTCTCCAAATGGGGGGATTTTAGTTTGTTTTTTTTTTAAGTTTAATATTGTTATGTTTCCGCAATAATCATTATGAACATCGAGAAAAAATTTATCTACAATCTCATATGTGTAGTGGATCTTTAAAAGATAAAAATTTGTTTTGATAGTTGACCTTAAAATACTGAGATGGGGCACCTGGCTGGCTTAGTCATGGAGCACGTGACTCTTAATCTCAGGGTTGTGAGTTCGAGCTCCACGTTGCGCATACAGATTACTTAAAAAAAAAAAAACAACTTAAAGAAAAAAGTAAAATACTAAGATATAGAAGAAGGAATGAGAAGTTATATGTTATTTTCAGTGGTGATATTTCTTAGAAATTGAAATCTATATCATTTTAGGCCAGAGCACAGCTTTTTTTTTTTTCTTCAAGAT